CATTTTTCATCCAAAAGCTATTTATTGTCTATCATGTACTTGGTTTTCAGTGTTATAATGTGTTTCTACTGGAAAGGATGCCGATGCCTGTCTGTCTGTCCACCTGTTCAACACTCATCTCCAACGCAGTGTATCTTGAAATTATAGCTGCACCAATCTACTTTTTTCAGTTCCGATCTGAATTTGGATTTGGATACCCAGATTTGGATATCTGCCAATACCAATACTGGAGCTTGTTATTAGTTATTATTATTATTATTATTATTATTATTTGTTGTTGTTGTTGGCGGCATTATGTGCGAAGTTATCTGAGGAGGTAGTAAACCACACAAAACTTAATATTAGCAAATAATACATTTAGATGTACTACAAAGAATGATATTTGAACTGTAGGTTCAAATAAACCTACAGAGGAGCAGCTTGTCACTAAAATCAAAACAGCTGGTCCATCTTAAAGGTCAGTCCACCTTAAGTGAGGCTGGGCCGAAGCTGCCGCTAACTTCAGGGCTAATTCCCTTCACCTAAATCAGCAGGTGGCAAGCAAGATACAAAACTTGGCTTTGGTCTTAAGGATTGGTGACATTGGATTGGTGGTCCAATGCAACCACTTACCTCACTTTTTTAAGTTAGATAAAGGTATTATTTTTTACAGTGCATTATTTTCCCCAAAAATTATTAAATCAATAAATAACGTATATCAAAATATTTCTTATGAGCTTGGACAAGCTTTACAGAACACTGGTAAAAATCCCATTAAACCTAATGAGAAACTGTAGAACAGACTGAGTTTATATCACAATACCTACATTTAGAACCGGTTATTCATTCAGCCTAATGAGAAACTGTAGAACAGACTCAGTTTATATCATAATACCTACATTTAGAGTCGGTTTATTCATTCAGCCTAATGAGAAAACTGTAGAACAGACTCGGTTTATATCACAATACCTACATTTAGAGTCGGTTATTCATTCAGCCTAGTGAGAAACTGTAGAACAGACTCAGTTTATATCACAATACCTACATTTAGAACCGGTTATTCATTCAGCCTAATGAGAAACTGTAGAACAGACTCAGTTTATATCATAATACCTACATTTAGAGTCGGTTATTCATTCAGCCTAATGAGAAACTGTAGAACAGACTCGGTTTATATCACAATACCTACATTTAGAGTCGGTTATTCATTCAGCCTAGTGAGAAACTGTAGAACAGACTCAGTTTATATCACAATACCTACATTTAGAGTCGGTTATTCATTCAAACTAATAAGAAACTGTAGAACAGACTCAGTTTATATCACAATACCTACATTTAGAGTCAGTTATTCATTCAACCTAATGAGAAACTGTAGAACAGACTCAGTTTATATCACAATACCTACATTTAGAGCCAGTTATTCATTCAACCTAATGCGAAACTGTAGAATTTAGTCAGTTATTCATTCAACCTAATGAGAAACTGTAGAACAGACTCAGTTTATATCACAATACCTACATTAGAGCCAGTTATTCATTCAAACCTAATGCGAAACTGTAGAATTTAGTCAGTTATTCATTCAACTAATGAGAAACTGTAGAACAGACTCAGTTTATATCACAATACCTACATTTAGAGTCAGTTATTTATTCATTCAGCCTAGTGAGAAACTGTAGAACAGACTCAGTTTATATCACAATACCTACATTTAGAGTCAGTTATTCATTCAGCCTAATGAGAAACTGTAGAACAGACTGAGTTTATATCACAATACCTACATTTAGAACCGGTTATTCATTCAGCCTAATGAGAAACTGTAGAACAGACTCAGTTTATATCATAATACCTACATTTAGAGTCGGTTATTCATTCAGCCTAATGAGAAACTGTAGAACAGACTCGGTTTATATCACAATACCTACATTTAGAGTCGGTTATTCATTCAGCCTAGTGAGAAACTGTAGAACAGACTCAGTTTATATCACAATACCTACATTTAGAGTCGGTTATCATTCAAACTAATAAGAAACTGTAGAACAGACTCAGTTTAATCACAATACCTACATTTAGAGTCAGTTATTCATTCAACCTAATGAGAAACTGTAGAACAGACTCAGTTTATATCACAATACCTACATTTAGAGCCAGTTATTCATTCAACCTAATGCGAAACTGTAGAATTTAGTCAGTTATTCATTCAACCTAATGAGAAACTGTAGAACAGACTCAGTTTATATCACAATACCTACATTTAGAGCCAGTTATTCATTCAACCTAATGCGAAACTGTAGAATTTAGTCAGTTATTCATTCAACCTAATGAGAAACTGTAGAACAGACTCAGTTTATATCACAATACCTACATTTAGAGTCAGTTATTTATTCATTCAGCCTAGTGAGAAACTGTAGAACAGACTCAGTTTATATCACAATACCTACATTTAGAGTCAGTTATTCATTCAGCCTAATGAGAAACTGTAGAACAGCCTCAGTTTATATCACAATACCTACATTTAGAGTCAGTTATTCATTTCTTATTATCTCCAACAGTGTGACCCAGATGTTTCACCCACATACAAAATAAATATAGTTTGAAATTTTGAAATTAATAACAATGTGGGTTTCAAAACATCTTTCAAAAACAAGTTTATTTTCCACCTGCTTGAGAAACAGCTGGAGCCATTAAAATAATCATGATTTAAGGATTTAATTGCTTTCTTCATAATTATATATAAAGCATTTACTTTGATTATTTATCTATTTTGCTTTCTAATAGTGATCTAGAGAGCCTTTCTGCACTCACACACCCCAACACTCACGTCTACATTTACACAGAAATGTGTGTAGAATCAAGCACGCTTGTTCATGGCTAGCATAACATGCTAACAACATTAGCATTAACGTCCTACCTGGCTTATGTTTATCTAGTGAGCTCAAAGTAATGATTGTAAAAAAAAAATCAGTCGACACATCATCATCACCATCATCATCATCTTCATCACCATCATCATCATCATCACCATCATCATAGCGTCCAAGTTTACATCCGGCTGCTCTTATTGATGATGTAATAGTGTGTGTTCACCTGGAAGAGTAAAGAATTCACTAAATGATCAGCAGCTCCAGCTGTAAGTTTTACCAAACACAGAGGAGAAACACCCTCCAGCATGGAACCTGATTCTGAGGGAAAGTGGAGGAGCAGGTTTTCTGGGGGTTGTGTGGGGGTGGGGGTGGGGGTGTCTGATGCTAAAAGACTGACTGTCAAATATTATTCAGATTTAAACAATATGTGTCAAAATCTCAAGAAAAAAAACATTCAAATGTTTCATATCAATCAAACTCTTGAGAAAAACAATTTGAACAAAATCTGGAGAAGCGAGTTATTTTGACAGAAAGTCTTACTGACATCACACTTTATCTACATGTTGTTCAAGATTCATCAACAGTAAAGAGAGATTTTCCAGGTTTAGTGTAAAGATATTCTGTAATTCTATCAGAGTGTTTAACTGAGTGCTGTGGGAGATCATGCGGTCTGGGTCAGTTTATTATAGATACAGTGGAGGAGAATCATGGGTAATGAAACACCGAAAACAGTGGATCATACAGAGCTGGGTTTCTATATCGCTGGGCCGCAGACCAACAGTGGGCCATGAAGCACTCTCTGTAGTCGTCAGAGAGGCAACAGATCATAGCAGGCTGGAATCATCACTTTCTCATAAAAAACATAAGTGGAAAAAAGATGAATTTAACAGTTAAGCCTTTAAAGGGCCGGGGCCCACTGGCAGGGGCAAAGCTTTATTACACACTTCTATAAGCTAAGAATAACTCAGCCAGGTTGCAGTGAAGTCCCTGTAGTTACTGAATAATATGCTTTAATAGGTAATAAGTCAGGGATTTTGAAGGGTAAAGAATCAAAGAATCAAACATTTTCAAATTCTAACCAGTATAAATATAAAGAGAGACATAATAAAAATGTTGCAGTATCAGGACAATTAAACATCATCAGTTTGAGATGGCGCAGCTGCGGCTGTGCACTGCAGACAGTTAGTCAGAGCTGGAGACGTTTCTGAGGCGTTTTCACACATACCTTGTTTGTCACACCTTTTCTTTAGTTCACTCTGTATTGATGTGTGAACACTCCACCTGTTCGGGTCTGCAACACACAGCTGAACCAGTCCGGCAAAACCCGCGGGTCTCGGTCCACTTCTAAACAAACCCTGGTTCAGATCCCTGCTGGTGGGAACACATTCCATAAAGAAACAGTGGAATTCATCAACAGAGCTTGGTTTCTTCTTCTTCTAGAAGCGCGTTGGCGCTGTACTGTCAGCATAATCTGCCTGGTTTAATGTCTGACTCTTTACAGACTCTCATTTGCTCTCATATTGTTCTTGCAGCATAAACTGCTGTAATATAAAATAATAGCAAAAATCTGTGTTTGATTTTGGCTCAATCAAATTGACTAACGAATTATGAAGAAGCAGTTATCAAGTAAGGTTTATAATTAGTGTTGGATTGTGATGACACTAATCCAAAAGCCTGGTGTGAAGAGTGTGACTTGACTCTTTTAACTAATGCACTAAAACTTTAAAAGTGAAAGAGAAATGTGACCGACTGCAGCTACAAATGCAAAAATATTAAAATGTTTCCATAATATCACTTCTTCGTCGTATATTTCTATTAGTTTTTTTTTTCTCATCTTTTTTAACATCACTGAAAACATTTTAATATGCTGTGTTTTTATTAGAACTGCAAACTGCAAATGTGGGTTTCTGTGATTGAACCAAAATGGAGGATGAGATCTTTTTCAGGCCCTTTCTCGGGTTTTAAGATTCAGTACGTAAAAAAGAAAAGGAACATTGTTCTAAAAATAGTCTATTTGAGTTTCCTGTGTCCCGCTATGCTTTCTAATGATAAAGAGGTGGATCATGGGGAGGAAAAGGCTGAGAAACCCTGATACAGACGACAATCACTTCTGGAAGAATCTGCACACTTGCACTGTGTGGGAAACAGAAGAACACTGAGTTGCCATTACTCACCAGTGGACTTTCACAAGTGCTGTGATTGGTCCAGTACAACATCACTTCACCCTCTTCATCTTGTAAAACACTTTCCAGCACTTCCTCCTGTGGTGGTGAACTAATCCAGTCCAAACCGGTTTACAGTGAAAGTGAAACCTTCAGCAGCTTCTGTTCAGTGAAGAGAAGATCATAAACAGAGAGAGAAAAGCTCAGAGGTAATTACTGAAGATCAACACACAGAATTTACTTTCTGACTTGATGATTAAAGACATTTCAGACACAGAGAGAGCGGAACATCACTGTGGAACTCAGACAGAACTATATTTCAGAGAACTACTTTCAGATGAAGTTAACATGTAGACTTCACTACTTCTGTGTGTGTGCTTACAGGATTAGGTCTAATCTGAAGGAGGAGCCATGACCTCCAAAATGAGCTTCTCTGAGAAGCAGCACTCACAGAAAGCTGAGAGGTGAGAGAATCATGGGATTTGGGGTAAAGACTGTATGTTCTCATCTACACCAACATGCAGGAACGTTTGTAGATCATGTCTGATATTGGTTGTGTTCTAGACTTGTTCAGGGTCAGAGATCTGACTCACCTGAACCCAGCTGTGTGTCCATGAAGAGTGACCGCTCAATGGACAAAGGATTCAACTTCAGAGAGGATAACAGTTCATCTGAGATCAGGTAAGAATGATGTAAAACTGAAGAATGAGATGAAAAAATGTTCTTTTTGTCCCACAGAAGACAAAACAAACAAGGAATACACAGTATGTTTATTGAGCTGTTCAGGTTGTTCACAATACACGACTGATAATCTTATGATTTCTAACAGAGTCCAGAAGAACTCAGATATTACCAGAAGAAAAATGGAGAACATATTCAAGGTGTGTGTGTGTGTGTGTGTGTGTGTGTGCGTGTGTGTGTGTGATTGTGTGTGTGTGTGTGTGTGTGTTGTTTATTAGATAGTGATGCTGTGAAGATGTTGAAGAAGTCTCCGCTGACACCGCCTTGCTTGTATAAGATGTTTATTGCAAAGTAAAACAGTATCATATCAAGCACTATAAAGTACCTGAGAGGGGATCCATGCCAATTCTGAAGTGTCTCCTCCAGAGCAGTATGACCTACTGCTTATATAGGGTGGTTGTTATGGAAAAAGGAGACGGAACATATAGTCCTTCTTAGAATAGTCTCATTCATCTGGAACTAAAGTGGAACGAGACCTTTGGACGAGGGGCCCCCTAACTTAAACATTCCAATCCTGCAACGTCAGATTACACCTGGAGCTTGGATACTACATATTTCCCCTCTTCTATACAGTTACTCTTTTAAATATACTTCAGTGTCAAAACACTTTCTATCCAAAGGGATAAAGCCAGGTGATTTTATGCTGACAGTCCAGAAAAGTGGAGTTTCACTGAAAATAATAAATAAAATGAGGACTTTTATTTTGAATAACATCTTTTGGTAAAATGACATAGTAGTCCATATTAATATCATGTAAAAAATGTATAGTTTATGAATGTTGATTTAAGCATTCATGAACATGTTATTTAGTGTTTATGTAAGGTGATATGAATGTGTTATGTAGACACGCTTCAAAGAAAGTGTTACCGAATAAATTACATAAGATAAAATTTTATTCTTCTATCATCCTGATTACTCAATAAAAACAGCAAAAACAACATCAACAACAACAACAATAATAATAATGATAATAATAATATTGTAGACTGCCTCACACTGGTAACAGGATCCTGTTTCTGTCTCCTTAATCAGGAGCTGGAGCACAAAGTCATCTCTCTGGTGAAGAATCAGCTGAAGAGGTTTGTGAAGCTGCTGAGTCTGGATTACCCAGCATGCTCTGAGAGAGAGGTGGAGGATGAGGAGGATCATAGCAGTGTCAGAGAGGGGGCGCTGAAGATCACACTGACCGTCCTGAGGAACATGAACCAGACTGACCTCGCTAACACACTACAGAGCAGTAAGACATCAGGGTCATGTGATTATTCATCATATTAATATCAAGAGTTTAAATGATCAGGATAATGTAATATTAATAATATTCATCACAGAACTATTAGGTTTTCTTATTGATCAGCTTTGTGTGATGTCACTATAATGTATAGTGTGTTTGTATCAATGCTGAAACTAAATGTTAATATTCTAATTGTGTTGTTTTTGTTATTGTTTCCTTTTTTTATCAGAAGTGGCTCCTTCTTATCATCTAAAGCTGAAATCAACACTGAAGGAAAAATTCCAGAAAATTAATGAAGGAATATCAAATTCTGGAACCTCAACCCTTCTGAATGAGATCTACACAGAGCTCTACGTCACAGAGGGAGGGAGTGGAGAGGTCAATCAGGAACATGAGGTCAGACAGATTGAAACAGCGTCCAGAAGACCAGCAACACAAGAGAAACCCATCAAATGTAACGACCTCTTTCAAGATAAGTCCATCAGAGCTGTGCTGACTAAAGGAGTTGCTGGAATTGGAAAAACAGTGTCTGTGCAGAAGTTCATTCTGGACTGGGCTGAAGGAAAAGCAAATCAGGACGTCCTCTTCATATTTCCACTTCCGTTTAGAGAGCTGAACTTGATGAAGGAGAAAAAACTCAGTCTGGTGGAACTTCTTCATATTTTTTTCTCAGACACAAAAGAACTAAAACCAACAGACTATCATCACAAAGTCATGTTCATCTTTGATGGTCTGGATGAGTGTCGACTTCCTCTAGATTTCCAGAACAATGAGAGCTTATTTGATGTAGCACAGTCAGCCTCAGTGGATGTGCTGCTGATAAACCTCATCAAGGGGAATCTGCTTCCCTCTGCTCTCCTCTGGATAACTACTCGACCAGCAGCAGCCAATCAGATCCCTCCTGAGTGTGTTGACCAGGTAACAGAGGTACGAGGGTTCAGTGACTCTCAGAAAGAGGAGTACTTCAGAAAGAGAATCAGTGACCAGAGCCTGGCCAATAAAATCATCTCTCACATGAAGTCCTCAAGAAGCCTCTACATCATGTGCCACATCCCAGTCTTCTGTTGGATTGCAGCCACTGTTCTAGAGAGAGTGTTGGGTGGAGCAGAGAGTGGAGAGATCCCCAAGACTCTGACTCAAATGTTCACCCACTTCCTGATCTTTCAGATCAAACACAAGGACCAAAAGTACCATGGGAAATGTGACACTGATCCTCAGGAGACTAGAGAGAGTATTCTGGCACTGGGAAAACTGGCTTTCCAACAGCTGGAGAAAGGCAATCTGATCTTCTATGAGGAAGACCTGAGAGAGTGTGGCATTGATGTCAGAGAAGTGTCAGTGTACTCGGGAGTTTGTACCCAGATCTTCAGAGAGGAGTTTGGGCTGCACCTGGGGAAGGTGTTCAGCTTTGTGCACCTGAGCTTTCAGGAGTTTCTGGCTGCTTTATATGCATTTATTTCCTTCATTTCCTACAACAGAAATGTTCTGACTACAGGATTTTTTGGTTTCTTCAAAAATTCAACAATGTCAGGCTTCCTCAAGTCTGCAGTGGACAAGGCCTTACAGAGTGAGAATGGACACCTGGACCTTTTCCTCCGCTTCCTTCTGGGCCTCTCACTGGAGTCCAATCAGACTCTCTTACGAGGCCTAATGACCCAGACAGGAAGGAGCTCTCACAGCACAGAGGAAACAGTCCAGTACATCAAGGAGAAGATCTGGGAGAATCCCTCTCCAGAGAAAACAATCAGCCTGTTCCACTGTCTGAATGAACTGAATGATCATTCTCTGGTGCAGGAAGTCCAAGCATACTTGAACAGAGGAGGTTCCAGTCGTCTCAGTGGAGCTAAACTCTCTCCTGCTCAGTGGTCAGCTGTGGTGTTTGTGTTGCTGAATTCAGAAGAGGAACTGGATGAGTTTGACTTGAGGAAATATGATCCATCAGAGGAATGTCTTCTGAGGCTGCTGCCAGTGATCAAAGCATCCAGAAAAGCTGTGTGAGTATTTTCATTCATAAATATTAAACTGTACTGTATTTAATGTAAATCAGGATTTGTGCAGTGTACTTTTAGATATTGGTATTTTCCCCCTCATTACATGACATCTTTCTGTTATTGTGATTTAATAAATGTACAAGCTATTACTTTCTGCATTTAAATAATAAAATGCTCATAATCTAACCACCAATATTAAAAAGATAAATTTAATTGAATATGAATAGTTTGTTATTTCATGTACATTCTCAGTGAAACTTCTCTTATCAGATTTTTTTTTATATGCCAATCTAGAGCCACATTATGAACAGTGAGTAACATTTGCGCATTTGAAAATATCGCAAATTTTTCTGGTAGCTGTATCCGTCCCTGTGTGTTTAAAATCACTACTGTTTTCATTCTGTTTCATCCAGTTTCACTGAGTTGTTTTCAGACTGTTCTAAATTTCATTATTACTGCTTTTCTCCACGTTTGCACTAGCATTGATAGACCAGTGCCCCAGTGCTTTTCCACTCCTGCCTATGAATCTCTGTCTATCATGTTTTAATGATAGTTAATCATTACCTGTCTATGTTTCCTTCATTTTCCCTGTTGTGTTTTGTTTGTTTCCTGCTGATTGGTCATCATTTCAGTCTCTTCTTTATTTATAACTCTTTCAAACTTAACATCTTATCAGTGATATATTCAAATACATTGATGGCGTCTCCTTCAGCTCTTTAATATCTGACGCCTGCGTATTCAGGATGTGTCAGTGCACTGAATCCACACTGACTCACTGATTTAAACTGGAGTTTTCTTTTTCATCAAAAGTCATGGCAGCATGTTAGCATATAGTAAATGAAAGAAGAGAGAATAAAAGCCGGATTTAAACTTTATACCAGCTCCACAGGACAAACAGAAAGCTGTAAAATCTCAAATATAAATATAAATCCTACATATAAAGTTATGTAGTTTCTTTCCAATTGTGGAGTTGTGTTTTGAGACACAAGAAAGAGGGGATTCAAGCTTTTAACTTACTCAAATGTAAATAAAAATAAAACATACAAAATAAAATTAACATAAATTAAAAAATGATGATTATACTTGATTCTTTCATAAATGATAATATTTCATGCCCTAAGATACAGAGTGTACTCAATCTAATACTGCAACAGTAGATGTCAGTAGTGTTTATGTCCATGTTGGTAATTAAAATGGATCAGCAAGTGGAACTGAAGTTTTCTGTGTGTTACTGTGTTTCCATGAATGTGTAAATGAATCTCAATGCTGCCTTTATTAGTGGATGAACTGAGGTTTGTTTTGAGTGAGTGTGTTCACACATCAAGAGTTAAAATTTCCTCACTGTGGAAACACTTATTTATGAGGTAATATTATGAGAGGAATTAGGAAAAGCCCCTTTAACTTTGCTTCAATTTGAAATTGCACTTTTTTTTTTGTTTTCTTTGGATTTTTACCAGTTTTCTCCCCAATTTAGTCATCTCCAATTCCACCTACTAGTTAG